TTTGAAAAATAGCTATTGATGGATGATTGACATCATATATAGAATTAATGCTTGAATGCAATGGGGCATGTTAAACCTTCTGGCAAAACATTGGAGAAGGTTATGATTGTTGAGTTACCAATACCTTGGTGAAAAACATTGTAGACATCAGATCAGAGTTTCTTAAAAGTATTATTCGGATTTTCTTAAACCATTTCAGCTTTTAGAACGGTGGAAGTTGAAACTATAGATCTGAACTTCTGAAGCTTCTGAAGTTCCAAATTCAAGAAAACTTTTAGGGCGTGTTCGGTTGCCCAAGACTTCGGAAATAATATACAGGGAAGTTGTGAGCTGTTGAGCAATGGCTTGCACTTGGAAAAAAATTTTTTTTTTTTCAAAATTAAAGGCATATAAACACTTATCCTCAAAGGTATAAATCAATTATATACCTTGTAAAGGGCTTTCTAAAAAAATATTTCAGAGGATTTGGTTCTTGGATATATGATGGGTGGTGCTATTGGGGTAATTTTTTTGTTTTATTTTTTTGTATAAATTTCATATGTCATTAAATGAGTAGATGCATTCAATATCATCGGTCTCATATAAATTAAAAGAATTAATTATTTTAATAACACGTAAAATTGTATAAAAAAATAGGACAGAATGGTTGTCTCAATAGCATTTCTCATATATAATTGCTTAACAAAAAAAAAGAATTAATTATATCACATAAATGCTCATATAGTCAATTATGTCAACGATATAACCAATTATATTGTAATTTTGGAATTTGTTTTAGGAAAGTGAAAATTCTGATCGTAGCTGCCTCACGCCCACGGTGACCATATTGAACATTATGGAAATTAATAAGACTAGTTTACGTTGTTCAATAAAGTAAGAGGACTTAAATGTAGATCAACTTCATACAAGTGGCAGTGCCACCGACTTCTTTTGACTGTGATTTCGTGGTATTGGAGAAATTAACTTCCAAATTTCAAGAAAATCAAGTTTAGGGGGTGTTTGGTTTGTTTTCATAAGACATGTCTTTCTTTTAAAATTTTATAAAGATATTTTGATGCTTATATATTTTGAAATTATAAAAAATAAAAAATAAAAAAAATATATTTTTTATTTTTTTAGTATAATTTTTAATTTATAAATTTTT